TATATATATATTATGGATAAGAAGAAGAAACATATTGAGGAAAGAAATATGAAAAACTTGTGTAAAAAATTAACTTTTACCAGTTTGGCTGAGCAACTCAATTCTCAGTTTTTTTTATCCTTACTTACACCTTATTGTTCGGAGGAATTAGCCTCTTAGTGTCATTCATGAACCAATCTTAGTATCATTCATGAACCGATGAATGTATGCTACGAGACTTTTTAAGTTAGGAATTAGAATCTCTTTAATAATCTTTTTCCTTCCCGGCCAATTTGTTCCTCAGTCTGTGGAACATGTCCTCATCAATCTCCATCTTGGTAGCATGTTGGGCCATGTAGCTTGCAAGCACTACAAAATTTTCATATTAGCTAAAAAATGTTCAAGTTACCAATTGTTTTATATGTACCACACATGTTAGTAACTGACTTAGGAGACAAGTAAACTTTAACGATGTTTTTGACAGGTAGCTTATAAAGGAGTTGTTTAAAGATCCTAATAATCCTCTGATCTTTCTAAAAAATTATGTCATTCGACAATTCCTTATATCTAAGAGGGCTATTCGTCCAATGGAAGAGAAATTTTGTATTATCATTTTCATCATAAAAATGCATCGACGAGCCAAGTTCACTACTACCCTAAAGAACCTATTATTGACCTCTTAATAAATATAGGAATAGACACCCAACAAACATGTACTCGACCTAAATTCACCAAAGTAGCCATGTGAATACCATTACACAACAAAGAGTGAGTGAAACTCAGTCGAGATTACAATAACAGGTGGTTATTGGGTGGACAAGGACAATCAGGAGTGGGTTAAACTCAGCTAGGCAGTGTACTAGTGGATACTAGGATTGTCTAAGGATACCAAGAGTGGTGAATAATACTATACAACCAGGAGTGGGTGAAACTCAGTCGAGGTCACAATAACAGGTGGTTACTGGATAGAAAGGGATAACTAGGAGTGGGTTAAACTCAACTATGCAGCGTATCAGTGGATACCAAGATCGTCTAAGGATACTAGAAGTGGTGAATAATACTACACAATCAGGAGTGAGTTAAACTCAATCAAGGTCACAGTAACGAGTGATTACTATTGGACAACGCCAACAAGGAGTGGGTTAAACTAAACTAGATGGTGTGTCAGGCAGACACCAGGAGCGTCTAGGGATACCATGAGTGGTGAAAAATACTGCACAACCAAGAGTGGGTGAAATTCAACTAGTCAGAGTAACAATGATTACTTAGTGTGACTAGGGATACCAAAAGTGGTTAGAATACTTAAATATACTTAATTGAATATTTAATGAAACCGTCTAAGTTAACTAGAGGAGAAATGGACATAGCTCTAACGAGTGAACCAGTATAAAAATGTTTGTCTAGCTTATCTCATAAAGATTAGTTCTTAAAGAAAACAATTTCCTTGACTCACATGTCTTCACAAGTGTCCCATCCCTAGAGAGTTACTTCTTACTAAACTCCTTAAGAATGAGTTTAGGTTGGTGTTATAAACGAACTTAACAGAACAACATTACCAACCCACAAGTATAGTTAATAGCACGATCAGATTATAGTCGTGTAAAAGGAGTTAAAAAATACTATTCAACGCCCCCACCCTCCTCCCCTTCTAGTGTTTTCCCGCAACTTCATGAAGGAGATTGTGTGCATGTGTATTATATTCGACACAATGCACAAAATTTCACTTGAAGATTTAAGAATACAACTTTGAAAAGGGACCTTTTGAAATTGGGTAACTACTTAAATTTATAAATTTTTAATCAATTATTTGTCGTGTTCATTATTCTTTGTCAAACTTAATCATTAATATTTTGTTAATTATATTTGTAGGATACACAATGACTAAGCCACGATGTAACTATTATTACAATATCATTAAGGAAGCTAATCCAGAAGCAACAACTTGGATTAACCAAATTCCAATACAATAGTTCACACTTGCGTATGATGAAGGCAAAAGACGGGGTCACCTAATAACAAATCTAGCTGAAGCAATCAATCCAATCTTAAAGAAGACAAGAAATTTAACAATCTTTTCCACAGTATTAGCCATATACATCATATGCAACACGTTTTTCACAGAAAGAGGGAAGCAAATAAGTGCAATGATAAGTGTTGGTCATGTGTATTATAAAAATTCCACCAAGGTCCTATAGGATGCTGATTCAAAATCAAACACCCACAGGGTGCTTGGAATTTGATAGAAATACAACAAGATCAGAATGGAGGAGATGTTAAACCCAAGATAAATAGGTTATGCGGGAAAATTGTTGTCAAGTTGGATGAACGGTGGTGTGAATGTGGCATGTGTTAAAAAATTTCATCTATCATGTTCAAATGTCTTAGTAACTTGCAAAGATGCTCATCACGACTTCGACATGTACATTAGTTCCCACTATAGGTTGGATGTCGTCATCAAAGTGTATGTATGATCATATGTTTGGCAAGCTAAGACATAAAAAATATTGGCCACCATACCAAAGCCAAATTTGGCCTCATCCAGCCATAAGAAGGAACGAAAAGGGTCGACCAAAATCATCTACAATCAGGATTGAGATGGACATAAGAAAAAGAGGACACCTACGAAAATGTTAATATTGTCAAATCTCATACCACACAAGAAATCATTGTCCTCATAATCCTGACATTAGACGATCCACACATTCCACCATTAACTTTAATTATTCAACCTTTATTTTATCTTTCATTTACTCAATAAAACTTCTATTCGCTTATACCTTTTCAATTTAATTAAGTTTCTCTAAATAACTTGATAACAAAATTTCATAAAAATATTTTAATATTCAAATGTTTAGTTCACTTTAACTAAATAATTCATCTTTATGTACAAAACAATGTCTCATACAATCCATAAAAAATAAATCAATTAAATTATTAAATCATATGGTTTTACAGTTTCTACTTTATTATCTAAACAAATTACAAAATTTAAAAGTGTGAGTATAATGTTTTATCCATATTTTATTGTTTAATAATTTAGAAAAAAAATAAAAAACATTTAGGTGTAATTATAACAGAAAAAAAACTACAGTTATAGGTATAATTACAAACCAATATAAAAGAAAAAAAAGGAAAACAATGTGTAGTTTAAAAAAAAGATAATGGAATAATTTTTCTTTTATAATGAACATCTAATAAATCAATTGTACTTCAGTGTTAATTTCATAAGGTAAGAACCGTAGTACATTAAATAGGTTTCGCTAGTGTTTAAATAAAACTAGAAATCAAAAGTAAACTACACTAATGTTGTGGGATTTCTGAATTAATATTATGGGTTTCATCGAGTGGTTGTTTTATAGGGAAAATAAGGATAGATTATCATTCAAAAACTATAATGTAGTATATAATAATTTAAGTCAAACACTTAAATCTGTTAAAGTTATAATGTAAAATACAGAAATCTTAACTAATATATAGTTTTATATATAATTTCTCTTTTTAGTCTTTCTGTTTTTTATTAAAATAATGAACAAAAAACTAATATAACTAAATCGAAGACTACAGTAAAAGTGTGTATGGTAGTAAAATATCGTGTTTGTACTGCTCGAAAAAAAAAAATC